CGTCATACTACCAGAGTTTACTATACATCCGGCGTGAGGTGGGCACAGGTGGAGGTCATCACTATGGCAACCAATAACAGAATCATTGACGGAAACACGCGAGGTTTACCGAAGTTATAACACTTCGAGAGACAGTCACAGTAACTGACTGATCTCGAGTCAGTTTTCGGCGAAAATACCAGATTTTCACCGCTCATTATCTCAGCGTATGGGCATATCGTAGGGATATGCGGTTTGTTTTATATAAACAAGGTAGGACAGCTGATCAATAATACTGCAAAGAATCGTCAAGATAACACGGGGAACGTTTATTAATTCGACTAATACTGCAACATGGTTTTAGCATTTTACCGTTGTACGCTCTCCTTCTTTATATGCTGTTGCTATATATATATATATATATTGTAAGTTGTAACTCCCCGTCCTAATGTAAACAAATTCAATTCCACTTATCCGAATATGCGCTTTATTTGACTAATACTGCAACATGGTTTTAGCATTTTACCGTTGTACGCTCTCCTTCTTTATATGCTCTTGATATATATATATATATATATTGTAAGTTGTAACTCCCCGTCCTAATGTAAACAAATTCAATTCCACTTATCCGAATATGCGCTTTATTTCCATTAACTCAAAAACCATTAGCCTAGGTATGACCATGAGCGTGAGCGTAAGCGATTAACTGCAACGATACAAATGCAGAAATCATAAGAAATATGTAATATTGCTATATAGTGTTACCTTCCAAAACAAATAAATTAGGGCAGCATCTTGCTGGGAGAAGTGAGCTCATTTGCATAATTTCCATGTGCTTTACCATGTAAAATATACTATACAGACGCGTACATACGTAGGGTGAGCTTAGACCCTTAAAAACACATTAAGCCCATAATAAACAACAGCTGAACTCATACTATCATAGCATTATTATTAGCATTAACATAGTAACAAAAACCGAATGATTGCATGGCTCTGTCCTGAGACAAAGGATTTCTCAATCTTGAGAATATGCTCGTAAAGAAACCCAATTAAAAACTGCTTATCAACAGTGCTATGCTTACAAAAGACACTAAACTTGTCTAAAGGGTTAACTGTAGATGCTAATACTTTAAAATACTCACAGGACTTTGTGTACCATTTAATCTTCGGCAAATTGTATTGATTTAACGAAAAATACTTTTCACCGTGAACCCTCCATTTTGGCTGATTGTTATGCTGACGAAATCAAATCACTAGAGTCCCTATATACAGAGAGTTGCGCCATGACGAGTCGAAAAACTATCGGTCACGTGGTCGCTGGACGACATGTTGTTTCCAAATAGATACGCACGGCTATGGCGGTAAGAAAGTGTACAATTAAACTATCATATCGTGCGAACGATTTGAGTTACATTTCTAGAAATCTAGATACACATAGACACATGTCTTAGCTATAATCTCTGGAAACAACATGGAGTCAAATCCTGAGTTGGCACAACTCTCTGCATATGGGTAATGCTATCCCACGGGCGTGGAGGGAGGTGACCGCAATGTGGCAGCACTAGTGTTGGGATAGTGTTAGGATTAGGGTTAGGGTCAGGGTTAGGGTTAGGGTTAGGGTTAGGATTAGGGTTAGGGTTAGGATTAGGGTTAGGGTTAGG